GTCTCTGAGCAACATGACGGTGTTTCGTTCCTGAATGAATCAACCGTTTAAATGATTCGGTTCAATCGCATTACCTCACTTATTAACAGTGACTTGCTGCCACCTACTGGCGGTTTTAATTTCACATTTAAAGTTTATTTTTATTATTTAGATAATTTCGAATAACAGTATTCAATGCTTTATGTTTAATATATCAAAACATTTTTTATGCATTTGTAACTGCAGGTTTAAGCATTCATGTCCTGCACTAAACAGTAGTGTGTAAATACATCTAAATGCCACTTCAGACGCAGCTTCTGTGTTTCCTCTGCATTGCAACGATGAATTTTATTGATACTGATTTCATTTGCTTGGTAACAGCCCAGATGTCTTATTATTCTAATTCACTGATTAAATGTAAGAATGTGACTCAAAAGATAAAGAACACTTTTAGAAAAGGGTAAAAATGCCCATTAAAAGGTAAAAATTAATTTAAACTCATATTGGAAAAGATTAATTTCTCTCAATGTAAACTGAGCACCACACAGAATATAAAGAATATCAAAAACTTCAGGAGCCAGCTGTCCACGGCAGTCCTTAAGATACCAGCACAATAACACACTCAGCAAAATATCGTCTAATTATCATTATCGATAAAATCACAGAAAATATCAAGATATTATTTTTTGTCAATATCACACATCCCTAGCTGCTATTATATCATAAATATAATGATGAGTCTGATTCAACTCTTGCATCTTTCGAGATTACTGGCTGTGTATTACGACATGCAGGGACACGATGTGAGAACTCAGAGAGGTTCCCAAATCTCAGTCTATTTTTTGACTGGTTTAAGTTAATGGAGAATATCTTGTGTTTTTCCATAGGTGTGCAGCCATTCTGAGCTCAAGCACCCACGGGATCGGCGCTATGCTAGAAACATCTGTCAGTAGCCGTTTTAGTCCCATCACTAACATAACAAAGATTAACTGTTCAATGGGAAGCGGTAAACAAATGGTATCTCTATTGGGTTTTCCCCTGTATGAGATACTCAACAACATCCTACAGTATATTTCTTAATCCTTCTTTTAAAGGCTTTGTGCAAATTATTTAAATACAGACTTCACAATGTAATTGCTACAACATATAAAAAGGATGTTTCCAGCTCTGCAAATCACAAGTGTTGAACTTGTGGCTGTACTTCTTAAGATCATGTTCTAATTTTAAGATAACCAAATTGGTCTGTTTCTTACTGAGAGCTGAGAGCCAATACAAAAACACATTACAAACATCTTAAGGACAGGACTGATAGAAATCACATTCAGAAAAGCAAACATACAGTAGCATTGCAATAAAGGCAAAATAATAATATGATGTACACACTGATTTTAACTCCTACATAGAGCACAGAGAGCACTGGATGGACCAAAAATGCCTACCTAATTATGACCTTACTGGTCCCCCTAGTGGCCATTTTCCACATAACTCCAGTTAGAAATCAAAGGTTTGAAAGATGTTTGGAGTTGTGTTTGCTAAAAAACTAACCACAAGCAGAACTCCATATTCCACTTTGCTTGAGTTATTCATGTGAAATAATCAATGCGTATTACTTTTGGGTGGACACAAATTCTGATCGCACACGGTCTAAACATTTTAGTCATGACAACCCATAAAACACAAAATGCATTACAATTCAATTCCTAATTAACATTAAGATAAAGCATTCCTCTTAGCTTAAAAAAAAAAAACAGATGGAAGAATGAAGATGGGCAGATGCAGACAGTGAAAGATGTATCTTTTTGCGTGGTACCTGTCAGCTTGTGTGGAAAGCGTGCAGACGGCTTTGGCGGCACTGGTGCCTGTGAGCAGACTGCCTCCCCGCAGGTCGAATCCTTTACCGCGACTGCTTTCTCTCAAGAGCTCCTGGATGGAAAGCGGCTGGATAACTGGATGGCTGAGGCCCAGTTCCAGCTCTGGACTGGCCTCTCCGCTCAACTCCAGCTGCAGGTCCACTGCCACGGCCTGCTGCGCCTGTGTGATGGCGATGGGAGGCTGGGAGCCGCCGTCACTGAAATGTGTGTGTTCCAGTGAACTCACATACTCAATCACTCTGAGGAATATCACAACAAACTCAGTGTGGGTATTTGCTTTTGGAAAAAAAATAAAAAGAAATGTCATTTTTAAATTCAAATATGTATAAAAATTTTCAATTTAACACTACTAATGCAAATCAGTAAATAAATATTGAATTTCATTAAATATGTAGAATGTAATTTTATACAACAAATAAAAAGTAAGTTTCCAGCTCTACAAATCACAGAGTTGAACTTGCTGTGCCTCTTAAGATCATGGTCTAACTTTTAAATAATTAGTTAATTGTTCGTCCTAGCATTTAGTTAAAAGTAAAACACAACCAACAGCAAAATAGATCATTGATGAGAAGAATTAAATGCACTACTAGTTTTTAAAAAAATAAAATGTGTATATTTAGTCACATTTCAGCAATCTTGAAACATGAGTAAATATGATGAATTATTTTCATCTAGTGACAGTCCTAAAATACTTTTAATTACTTTACTAAAGATTTGAGAGTAAGAGATGTAGGGTTGGGTACCGAAACCCGGTGGTACCTATGTAACCGGTAGGGCTGTGTATCACCAGCAAAGCCACGATACGATACATATCACGATATGGGACTGCACTGAATTTCACCTCAGCAGAATTTGGTAAAGCTGTTTACTGCATACTATAGGGCCATTGCTAACTATTGGCAGAACAGGCACTTGACCTCTGCATTATGAAGGGCTTTCATAACTCTACCACAGTACAACATAGGTAATGGCATAAGTTTCATGTTTACATTGTGCACTCCCCAACAGGTACAATATTCTGATTGTTTGCATCTTGTTTTTAAGCCCATAAATAATGATGTACTCGTTCTAATAAATTTATATTGTAATGTACTCATTCTAATATATTAAAATCATCTTAATGTAACCCTTGGCTAAAAGTAAAAAAAAAACCCGACTGCGCCACCTAGGTTATTTCTCCTCCCAGGAAAAAAAACACAAAAAGACTTAAACCAAAAGAAATTACAATAATATGAAGGACCCTGCTGGTTTGGATGGGGTTAAAGACAGAGACGTGACTTTCCAAAATAATACAAATTCACACAAAAAATTTTTTTTACCCTAAAACATTCTAAAAAAAAAAATGAACCTCTTAAACAGTTTACCAATTAATTACCCACAGTTAAGAGACTATAATAAATCCAACTTTAACAGAAGGGACAAACCACACAGTAAATCAGTGCACAACAATTCTTAAAGCAAGTGATAAACCAAAAAAAAACAAAAAAAAACAGAAAGAGACAAATCTACTCTCTCCCCTTCTGTTAAACCTCAATATCACAGCTCGTCAGGTGTTCACATGTGGATATATACACAGTAAAAAAAAAAAAAAGACACTGGTAAAAACGAAAGAAAAACAAGAAGAAAAAAAAAGATACATAAACAGCCAAAACACAATAGATAAATCAATTAATATTTAATAAAAAATCGTCCAAGCTGCTTCACTGAACCAGAATACAAAGTCATTAGTTTAATATATTTGTACCACAGACAAAAAAAAGAATGTCCAACACTTACTCAAATATATCGTACAGATCAATTAGGCAGAATAGTCTAAGAAACACTCTGTAAATCAGCGGTTCAAAACTGCGACGTCCACGAACCAGGTCTATGAAACATGTCAATGAAGCAGGTCTATGAAACAAGTCGATGCAACAAGTCGATGCACTAACTCGATGCAACAGCAGCTAGCGCCCTTAGGTCCACACCTGAAATACAAATATAATTAAAGCTGCAAGCAGCGATGAACGGGCCCTCGCACCCGGGCTCACCGCCACCCGGTGGCTTTAGGAAAACAGCAAACAGTGGGCAATATGCAATAAGTGGTAAATATAGGAGGAATATGTCAAAGTCATTTATATGTGCCAAATTTTCTGCTGCCAGCTGGTCGCGCTATGATTATAACTGAATGTTGGCATGTAGATGTCTTCAAGCCAGGACTTTTAACAAACATGTGAAGTCTGGTGCAGATTGAACATGTGTCTGAGAGTGCAAGTCTGAGAATGCAAGTCTGAGAGTGCAAGTGCACAGCTGCAGCCAGACCCTTCTCTGCTATCTGGGAGGCAACCCCGGTTGTGTTCCTCTGCGGCCAGATTAAACTTTGTTGTAGCTTATATATGCTCTATTCATTCTTTTTTAGAAAGCTCGCACTTTTCTACTCAATTTTAAACGTTGTAAAATTTTAAACAAATTAAGCGTGTTTAGGCCAATTTTAGCAGGGCTATAGTGATTAGCTCCATAAACTGTACACAAATTCGTGATCGCCTCAGAGACAGTCCCCTTTAAATTTAATATGAAAACGGCGGCAGACTTCGTCTCCTCCCCGTCTTTCAGTGCGCCAGGCACGTGCAGAGGGGGGTGCGGTGGGTGCTTGAGCACCTGCCCCTTTTCCCCTTGATGCCCAAAGTGCCCTTTTGTCAAGGCAATTTATTTATTTATTTATACATTTTTTTTGTAATTAAACGCCATTTTGTGAAGGCCTGCCCAATCTAACTATTAGTAAAATGAATGAATAATAATTTAGTCGTAAATAAAATTATCCACATGATGATGACCTTTCACCTGACGATCTCATCAGGGACTATCCCTCACGTTCAGACACCTTTAATGTAGCCCACTACCTGGCTGAAATGTTAGTAAATACATTTGTTAATGTGCACAGTTCAAACAGGCTACTTGTCAATCCTGTTTTTATCATCATTATAATTTTAAAAAATGAATAAATTCAGAACATGATTATAATATAATTCTATTTTAAATATGCGCTATTCAATCCGCAGACCGCGGCGGCGCAGCATGAGTGGACTCAAACAGAAACAGAGGACACAAGGTGTGTGTTCTTTGTATTTATGACAAATTTATGTTCTTTGTCATAAATACAGTTTACAAAAGGTCATGAGGGAGCAATCGGTTTCCCATCTACTATAAAGTTTTCGCTGTTCACCCCTCATCACACCACAGCTGTTTCCTCCAGCGAAGATCTAGCCCTTAACACATACGAACGCATACTTTATAAAACGATAATGTTGCTATTTTCATTTGAAAATTTTATATTTAATATAAAACATATTACAGCGCATGTGGCATACCATATAGTCACAGAACTGATTAAAGACAGTGACAGACAGCACTCAGTCAATTCACTCATTTTAACTAAATATCAGAGTGATTGACAGAGATACAGTAGAAACATTATGTGTGGTTTTGTATTAAATATAGTTTTGTATTAAATAATGACCCAGATCGTGAAATACATTTCTTAGCCTTAGAGTAAAGGAAGCACAACTCGGGAAATGAGAGCATCCGAGGAGCATGTGAGTGCTATGTATATTTATTTTAAATATTTTTAATGTTCTTTAATGTTATCCATCGTTTATTTTGTGGATCTTTTTTTAAAGTATCGGTTCAGGCAGCGTTTAGGTACCGGTGCCGTTTTAAAAGTATCGATTTGGCACCGGTATCGTAAAAAACTCAATCGATACCCAACCCTAAAGAGATGAGTGTTGTACCTGAACACGTGAGGCCAGCAATCGTGGTTATGGCTGCCCATTTCCAGCCCCACATTGAGTATAGCGTCCATGCAGAGCACATGGGCCGTGTGCAGCCTCACGCCCTGACAGCGGCCCATCTGTTCGAGTTTCTGTTCAACACGCTGCTTAACTATAACACAGACACATGCAAGTTCACCTAAGGCGATTGAATATAAGTTCAGTAGGGTTTGAACTGATGATCTGAGGTTAGTAAGTTTTACCTAACTGTTTTAAAGCTGTTTAACTCCCATTCATCTTTTTTTGTTAAAGTAAAGTAATATGTTGGGCCTGTGATAGTCACATTATAAAACTAATGATGTTATGAAAACTTGTAAGGAACTTGAAAGGAAGTAATACAAATTTGTTTAGATCAAAACAATCTAAACGTTCTCTTTCCTTTCCCAAAAATGCTTTTGATTGTGCTCATGTACTCTGTGCAACAGCAGCTCTATGCAGGTATGAATACTGGCACTGAAATTTGTTCTGCTGCCAATTTATGCCAACATTTACAGCATGTAACATATGCTGCATGGTATCTGTCAGAGCACAGTAATGGACCCAGTACTAGTACAATATCAGTCCCCACACATGTCTCTGAATACAGTGATGCAAAGTGAAATATGTCACACATATGTTGTGAAATGTGTATAAATACCTTGAGCAATGGCATCTCCAGTCTCCCCCAATTCCTTCTCCTCTTTCTCCTCCTGAACACATGATGCTGCTGCCATCTGGGCAAGTGCTGAGGCACAGTTGGCCGCCACACCTAAGTGACAGAAAATTAAGGCCCAACAGACATACCATTTCCATTAGTGTCCCATATTCCACTCTGATGGACAGTATGCAAAAGATTAATGTGTGAGGGAACAGTATAAGTGAGCTGAAATAGAAATGAAAAGGCTGAAATTAATGACATGTGATGTTACCCAGAGCACAGCTGAGTGCCGCAGCCTTGCGTAGACCATCCAGGCTGAGGCAGATGGTGTCTCTCTCCCTCTGAGTCTGCTCTTTAACTCCCTCTGCTCCAAGAATAAAGGCGAGACCTCTAGAGCTTCCCGCCATGCGCCCTGTGAGTGGCGTGGACAGCGTGTCGATCAGGTTCTTCCAGCAGCCAGTCAGGATATAGCGGGCAAATACCACACCTGTCAGGAATGAGGTCACGATGAGACAATGACAGCTTGACCCTAAGTTGTCAATGTTTGTGATTTGACAACAAGTTACCCAAAAATTCAGATTCACACAATCTATTCAAGACATTTCCCTCAGTCCCCTTCATGGTCAGAGAACAACATGCAAGATAACAATAAGTCAAGCTACAAGTACAGATATTCAACAGAGACTACCTTGCTATCCGTCACTGAAGATTATGCATACTCATTCTACTGGATTTTTAGTGTTGCATTATACACAGTAAATCACCAAATCCCATTGTCTTCCCTCTCCAAACTGGATATCCAAAAATTGCACTGGTTTGAGGCCTCACAAGTAGATCCTCCAGGGTATTTTTTTAGTGTCAAATCAACTAACCTCAGAGTACCTCAGGGTTCGGTGCTTGGCCCCCTCTTCTTTTTGAAATACACAACATCACTAGGCAAATGGATTTTCCTACCACTGCTACCCTGACAATATGCAGCTCTTCTTGTCATTCCAGAAAGAGGATCCCATAGTGTCTGCATGGATTTCAGTTTGCCTGGTAGACATCTCTGCTTGTATGGAAGAATACCACCTCCAACTCAACCTAGCAAGTACAGAATTTCTTGTCTTCTTGTAAGCCACTTCAGTAAGCTTGCACTCTGCAAGTAAACAGTGCATTATAGTGCCATCCCAAAGAGGCACAAACTTACTTTTCCTGACTTTACCTTAACTGTTCCCTGCTGGTGGAATGACCTGCCCAACTCAATACAGTGTGTGTGGACAAGCAGAGTTTCTTGCACTGTACCTGCCACCAAGTCACTGCCGTTCTTGTCACAGGTAAAGGGTGACTGTGTCGAGGCCTTTCTGATCAGCTGACCACCGATAGCACTGCTGCCCAGTCCATCAATATCTGACAGAACAAAGGATGGGAAAGGAAGAAATACATATTTCTTAGTAGTAAATAATAATTTAGTCATTGTATTTATCTAAAGGCACTCTTCTTACAGAGTCAGTGGCCCTGGGGCAACTTGAGGTTATTAAGGTTATACATTTAAATACATGAAATTCTTGGAAAATCTTTACCATGGCTAATTGTTTTTGAGATACAGTATGTGGCTTTGTGTTTGCTCATTTCATGTTATATGTGATCAGCAGAGCAATTAAATCAGCAGAGAGAGCTTGCTTCAACCGTAATGTTATGAAGCTACGAGAATACTTTTTGTGCACAAAGTAAACAAAAATAACGACTTTATTCAACAATTTTTTTTTTTTAGATTAGATTTAGATTTTATTTATTAAAAAACTACCCTCTAACACTAGCACTCTCTGTTCTATTTCTATTATATTTTTTATTATTTTTAAAATAACGACTTTATTCAACAATTTCTTCTCTTCCGCGTCAGTATCCTGCGTGTGCAATCATCTGCTTGTAAACAAGGCGCAGCGCATGCGGGTTCTATGTCAGAACGTCATACGACTCCTGCGTCAGCAGCACCACACGCATGCGCCGTGTTACTCTCATGAATGGCGGTGGAGACTGACGCGGAACAGAAAAAAACATTGAATGAAGTCGTTATATTTATTTTCTTTGCACACAAAAAGTATTCTAGTAGCTTCATAACATTATGGTTGAACCACTGATTTTATTATTGACTATTTTAACGATGTTCTTACTACCTTTCTGGGCCATAAAATGTTTTTACAGATAATGCTATCCACGTCAGCCAGAAACCAGATGAACTTCACGTTCCTATATAAACATGCTGCAAAACTTCTTGTCCAAGCACTTGTCTCTAGACTGAACTACTCGAATGCTAGTCTGTTCTAGAACATGGTGGTGCTTTTGGTCTTTAAATGAGCATGAGTTTCATGTAGTCCCACCACTGAAATGAACTACATGCACAATAATTAGGCAAAATTGGTTTAAAATAGTTTCACTAGCTTTTAGGACACAAATTTCAGGTCACTGGGCCATAAAATGTTTCAGTTGCATTGCTGTCTATGCAGGGTCAGAAAGCTCTCGGATTTCATCAAAAATATCTTAATTTGTGTTCCGAAGATGAACGAACGTCTTACAGGTTTGGAACGACATGAGGGTGAGTAATTAATGACCGAATTTTTTATTTTTTGGTGAACTATCCCTTTAAAAGTAAAATGTGGCAATGCCAATTTTTTGACAAACTGGTATTATTTTTATATTATTATTCTATGTCAAAATGAGACATTGTTTCAGAACAATTATCACCTGAATTCATAAAATGCAAAGAAGAATTTTATAAATTTACACCTTCACACCATGGATATGTACTCATCTGAGTAGTGTTGGGCGATATGCTCAATTTTCATATCGTCCTATCGTCAGCCAGTGAGATCGCCGATACACGATATTATCGTGCTAATTTATTTAATTATTTATTTACCTAGTTGCACAACCCTACATCTGAGACCTCTATGGTTGATTTCACACAAAGGAGTATTACCGGTGAGCATGGTGATGAGAGGTAAGGACTGCTCCTCAGCGGAGCCCCAGTACCCCGCCTCTCCCAGCAGGTTTCTGTCCAACACCTGGTTGTAGAGCTCCTCGATCCAGGCCTGAGATAGAACCACCAGAATGCCACTGCTCTGGATCTGCCGCACAAACTCTTTCTGCACACAGAGAAGCAGCTCATTCAACACCACCATCAGATTGTGCGGGCAGAGATTGGGTCAGAAATGAACCTGGGCTCGGGACAAAATCGCCCCATATATTTAACATTTATGGTAAAATAATGCAGGAATACCAAAGACACCAGAGCACATGTGGGTTTCCTGTGGTAGTAGTCACAGCAGCACAGTTTGAGGTTGAGCAGTAGAGCATAATAGGAAACCAGGTACAATCCATCTGCATTCATCAGAGCCTGACAACTCAGGTTTTTACTGCCCTCGAAACCTGGAGAATGAACCCCACCTATAAGACCACAGAATAACATCACATTACCTTCAACTGCACATATACAAACGTCTTAACAGTAAACTTAAAATATCTCTAAAATTTGAAAGTCTGATCTGATGCATGTGGACAACAGTATTTAGTTTCTGTATTTTGAGCATGTGAACAAGTTAATAGTATATGACCATGAAACATTAGTAGTTCTAAATTGATGACTTTCATTTATCTTCGAGCATACAAATATAGAGTTCTGGCATGAAACTCTAGATGGCACAGTACCATAGGTCTAACTCAATCTGACCTAATGACATCATTATCACATGGCACAGCTGATTGGTTCTCTCCTGTATCGGTAGCCAATGAGCTCACTGTTCAACATTCAAATATATGACTATTGCTTGCCATAGCAGTTGCAGCTTGCTTCAGAAACCCTCCACCTTCCCCAGCTCCACCTGTATTGATCTGCTTCGAGGTGATCATGTATGCTATATGGGGGTTATTTCATGTGCTATATTTGCAGCAGCAATATTTCTTACATGCTCACAGCAGCATGTTGTGGATGTATTGGCAGTATCAAGTCTCGGTACTTGCTCTGCCGCAGCAGCAGCATAGCAGATCTATTCCGCCAAGACCAAATACATTAACATTGTCATGTACATTACCATGCCAATCCCTCCGAGAGTTGTCATGACAGAAATAAATATATTTTAATGAAATTTGAGAGAGTTCTGTCCCTCCACTGAAAGTACATTCCACCAAGTACATTCAAGTTCAGAAACAGATTGTACACGTTGGATTTTCCATTTACCCATCTTGAAGCGCTCTATGTATATCCGTTGATCAATGTATTCATTGATCAATATGTGAATAAAACCTTTATATGATGAACAGATTTCATCTAGGCTTTTAGATGAAATCTCTTCATCATATAAAGCAAATATGTCTCTTCAGAAGACTAAACCGATTCATTCTCTTTTTGAAGCTGTAGTTTTGGTGGAATGGACTTTCAGTGGAGGGACAGAAATCTCTTTATTAATCTCTTTATTCTCTCTCATTAAAAAATATCTTCTGTTGTGTTCTGAAGATGATCAAAAGTCTTATGGGTTTGGAACATGAGGCTGAGTAAATGATGACAGAATTTTTCATTTTTGGGTGAATTACGGGGGGATTTCACCAAACAGTTAGTACATTTTAGTATTCATAAATTAGCCTGGTTGAAAAAAAAAACTGACATTTGGCCATATTGAGATTATTGGCATTGCCTGATAACCTACCAATAACCTGTGTTTTGTTTTCAAATATTCACAGTGAATATCATTTAAAAAAAAATTTCAACAAATGTGTCTATATCTAATTTTCTGTAATCAAATTATTTTTTAGCCTACTGTATAACAGGGGTGTTTAAACCTGCTCTTGCAGGGCTAACGTTTTCCAACTTGCCCCAACACAACTTCCTGGATGTTTCTAGTCAGCCTGAACATCTTAACTAGCTGGACCAGGTGTGTTTAATTGGGACTAGAGATAAACTCTGCAAGATAGTCCAGACAGTCCTCCAGGAACAGGACTGGACACCTATAAAATAAGTATAAAATATATCAAATATAACTATCAGTTCATTCTTGTATACAACATCGGTCAAGTTACCTGCTTGCAGTCCTGAACAGAAGGTGGATGAGAAGTTCTGCAGGGACATGTCTACATCCGTGGTGCTGTGCAGTCCCAGCAGGCGTGGCAGCAGCGCAGCTAGAGACTGTACAAAGAGCCGGGCGCTCTGTTGGTCCGCTTCCTGGTTCTTCAGCAGTTTTAGGGACAGAGCAGCCGTCCGTAGCGTACGGTGCCCGGGACATTCCCGTGGCGTCTGCTCCTCGTCAGCGAGAGAGCAGTTGTCAGAGCCCATATCGGACATGTCGGAGCGACCCGAGTCCTTTTCTGCAGCCATGGAGTACTGGTCGCACGAATCAAACTCTGTTCGTGACAGCTCCTGCTCGTCTGCACTGAAGTTGCTTTCGCTGTAGCGTGAGCCGTGCGAGCGTGTCCAAGACTCCACAGACAGAAAGTTGGTGATGTCAGGGTAGGCCAGGCCATGGCTGCGCTGCACTACATCAGGAGGCGCCATACTGGACAGGGCTTCTGGGGCGCCACTCTCTCGTACACATTCTGGTACATCCGGGCGAGCTCTCGCCGCGGCTCCACAGGTAGAAGGTGACGGCAGGCGCGGTTCCTCCCCGCAGTCCTCTGGAGTGGTCTGACCCAAGTCCCCCTCTAATGTGGTCTGTCCTGTTTCGGTGGTGACTCTGATGCTGATGTCAGGGCTGCGTTCAGTGATGCTGGTCTCCCAGGCGGCATTCTCAGAAGAAAGCACACGCCGCTGCCAGCGGAAGTCAGCTTCGTTGAGTTCTACAGACTCACGCATAGACTCCACCCCTTCCTTGAGCTCATCCAATCGCCGCAGCAGCATGCGGGACTGGTCTTGCTGCAGGCCACGCCCCTGACTGAGCTCATCTAAAGCACCCAACAGGGCACTAGCACAGGAGACAGAAGAGAAGCAGGCCTCAATCCCGCCCTTCATGCACGCTTCTGTTATGCCATCCATTACCCTGAGAAAATAGGAAAGATGCTGATACTGGTTGGTCAAATTTGCTTATCAAGGAACAGTGCCCGCAGACTTAAGGCATCCTTTTAAGGCTAATCCACACTGTAGTGTCATATGCCAATAAACATGTTCGTCAGTATTTTTCAGATCAGTGTGTTACCCCTGTCACAATCAGTGCTACCTTTTGGGTTTGCCGGGTCATGGAATGTCTAAAAAGTCAAAAACTGTAATCTGGTGTCTGTGTTGGTCGTCATATGTTTGTGTAGTGTGAATTAGCCTTTAAATGTCTGAATGTCATTGAATAAGAAACAAAATATCTTACAGTTTGAGAAGATCAAGATGTGACTTCCTTTTTGAGAAAGACCGCTTTCTTGTCTCAGGCTCAATGACACATGGACCGGCCAGGTCAAACAAGCGCTGGGGGCTTCCAACAATCTCGGGGGGAAGCGAGGGGAATAACAGCATGTTTATTAGTACAGAAAAGACTTGAGTACTCAAGGGGGGCAGTAGTGTTTTTTTCATGTCTGTGGCATAAAATAAAAAGCTTTTAAAATGCAGCTGTGCGTGAAATTGAGTTTGCATAGCCAGAAGCGTTTGAAATAATTTATATGCAGGGGTGGGAAGTAACGCAATACATGTGACTTAGTTACGTATTTAAAATACAAAATATGAGTAAATGTATTTCATTACAGTTACATTTTAATTGTGTGGTAATTAAATTAGTTATATCCGAAAAGTACTTTAGATTACCAAAGTGATTACTTTGATGTTTAATTTTTTAAATATTCATTTATATTCATTTATTTCATTTAAACATGAATGTAAACTGTAATCGGCAATTATAGGGATAGTTCACCCAAAAATTAAAATTTGATGTTTATCTGCTTACCCCCAGGGCATCCAAGATGTAGGTGACCAACGGTTTGTGTTAAAAATCTTCGTTCTGGCATCCTAAGCTACGGTTCTGCTCATAAGTTTCATATCCCTTGCAGAATATGCAACATTTTAATAAATTTAACAAAATAAGAGGATCATAAAACTTGCACGTTATTTTTATTCAGTACTGTCCTTAATAAGCTATTTCACATAACATATGTAGATGCAAAGATTAACCTTACAAGTACTTGCACTTTTGCACTTCTTTGCACATATTTTTGTGACCTCTGAGCAGAGTCGGACAGTAACTAAGTACATTTACTTGAGTATTGTACTTAAGTACACTTTTTGAGTATCTGTACTTTACTTGAGTATTATTTTTTCTGGGAACTTATGACTTTAACTTCACTACATTTGAAAGACAAATATTGTACTTTTCACTCCACTACATTTCTATCAAGGTCCTCGAAGTAGAAAGTCGGTACTATGTAGCAGCTTTGAAAGTCAGTGGGTGATTTTTTTTCTTATCTAAAACATGACTTTCTTTTTTTCAGACAGTTTATCAGTAATCACTCTTGTAGGGCTATGAAGTGATTTCCCAGCATTTTTTGAACACTGACCAGCTACAAATGTGATAGTTGTTTACAACAATTCAATAAGTTAATATTGTGGTTTATATTAGACACAATATTGTCTGATTTTGCTGCAGTTAGGTTCTGTGTTCTGTGTACAGACTGTTCTGTGTGTGACATCAAAGTACAGCGAGAGCGACTAGACAGCATTTTCAAAATGTTTGTTTTGATGGCAAATAAGTCTTGCTGTTTTGCTTTCTTGTTAAAGCAGTGTTGCTGTTGTAAAGTTATACAGCTACAGTTGTGTTGCTGGGTTTTAAAGCAGGTTTGATTTTTTTCTTCTTCCTTATCACTCTGTATTTACAGGATTTCACTGTACTGTATTCAGTAGGTGTAATGTATTCTAAGTTGCTTCAGAAGTATTGCAAGTAGCTCTTTATTCCAAAGATACAAGCTAGTTAGTGTATTCAGTGTATTCAGTTATTTCAGAGGTATTGCAAGTATTAAATACAACAATAATAAAACAGTTCATTGACATAAATGACATAAAAA